TCAACCCAAATGTACGCAAACTAACTGTTTCAATTAACAACAAATCTTCTGTTGCAGCGCCTGATTTAGGATCACGTCTTTCAGACATATCCCCTTCCTGTCCATGTGTCTCTCAGTCCGAGTCACCACTGAGTATAGTCAAACTTCAGCAGAGCACCAGGGGGTCCATCGGCAGGAAACCAGCGCTAATTGTGCTAATGAGCTTGTTTGGAGAAGCCCTCATGTCTCCCTCCGCTTCCCCTCAGCGCCACGAGCGGCCATCTGACTTCCAGAGAATCGGGTTAAGTGAGACACACTCGGGATGGGCCGATCTGACGGGCCCCGGTTAGAGGTTTGGTGTGCGGCGTGAATCCATCACCAGTAATAAAGCTCTTTGACACAGAGGCCTGTTCTCATCCATCATCGCTCATTTAAGACACAAAGTTTGGCTCGGGCCTGACAGAAGTGAGGGATTATTGCCATTAGAGGCAGATCTTTTGTTTTGATGGCCCCTCTTAATGGGGTTGCATTAAGGGGAAGTCCTAGGGGCCAGTTTTTGGGTGATTAAGCAAGCAACACATTTACAAGTCTCTAATTGAGAGAACAATGCCAGGAACCTACCGAGTGCAGAGCTGTAATGAACTGAGGCTCCCTGAACTAGCTTCATGATTAGCCAACGTTGCGGCTCGTGAGTACGCATCAACACGCTCTCCCACTTCCTCCCGAGGAAGAGGAAGAGGAATTCCTGCACATGATGGGAAGCAGACACAGCGAGCCGAAGAGGGCTACAGATTTGTTGATTAAAGAGACAATTTGAGTCTAATTTAACACAATGTGCCAAATCATGTCAACCTGTAACATATTAGTTGGTGAGAAGATGCCGTATATTCACATAGGGAGTCATTATTTTATGTTTTATCATTTATTAATGACATTTTGGGGAATGACTGATAATAAAATACGCTACAGATGGTCTTTAAACCGTGGAATATTGGGAGCAAACTGACGGGGAGGTTGTAAAATGAGAAATTGAAGAAAATGATTTATTGTGAACTATGTTGTTTGTCTTTCTCACTCACCAAGCTCAGTGCTCAAATATTTCTAGAATAAAGTGGTGTCCTTTAATACATTTTACACGGCCTATTTTGGTTTTTGCTACTTGCCTTATGACATTTTTCGAACTAAACCAAGTTTTGAATCACCCTCCCATGAAAATCGTGCTTTCTTATTGATTATTTATTTGCATGTATAAGCTTTACTTTGACATTAAAAGTCTGTTTTTAGATTTATCTGCTGAAGGTGTAAAGTCTTTAAACTCGAAATGGTACTTTATGTCGTTTACCTACAAAATAATTTGGAAGCCATCCAATATGCATCTTACATACAAGTTAGGTGGGAAATTGAAGTCAAAAAGGTTCAAACTTTTTTTTTGACACTGTTACGGTAAAGTCCAAGTTGAATGAGTTTAAAATGGCGCTTTATATACAAACTGTTGCTTAAACTTTTGTATGTCTCAATATAAAATCAGGTATATTCTGGCAGTAAATGTCCAGGCTTGTATTCATTTTTGAAAATATACAGTTGAAACTTAATATAAGTGCCTATAACTATCCGTTCAAAGTTAATACATTTGTAAGTTAAGAATCTTTTTGTCTATGACTAACTTATTAAACTAAGTTGTCCACTGAATAAAACCTGTTCATGTTCTTTGGTGATAAAGGAAGCGTTCCTCTGCCCTTGCCTCTGTCACACTGCAGTGGAATCAGGTTAAGTGGAGGGTGTTTCCTGCGCTGTGATGTCACATTTCACTGAGGCTCTGTATCTCAGGTTGTTGTGTGCCGTCTCGTGCCCTAATTAGAGGAAGTAGAAAAAAACGCTCGGCAGCCAAATGAAGTCACCTGAGATGAAGGACACATCCTCTGTGCCAGGAGACGCTTCACATTTGATTTTTTATTTATATGTCTGCGTTGTGCAATACTCAGGGAGAAAAGAAGTGGGTCAATGAACAGATTTGCAGAACTTTGAAACATCCGTGTTGTCTGTGTGTCTCTGGTTAAACATAGTTTTGTATCCGATTCCCCAGTGCCAATTACTCATTAAAAATGTTTAACAACATTTTAATTGAAGAATTAATTACCTTCGGCTGGGCAAAATCCTCCTAAATTTCATCAGGGGAGTCATCAAATGTGCAGAGGAGCAGCCGTGGATAAAGTGTCGGAGAGTGGGTGGTGGGTGTAGGAATATTACATCAGTGTAGCGTAGTCCATTGTGAGTCAACGGGCGAGACGCACGTGATAATTCATGAGTAAACACATCGGTGAGTAAAGCGCTACGATGTTCCTCGCGACGTGTGACTTTAGAAACTGCAGCTCGCAAAGTCTCTGCCAAAACCAACACCATTCACAGCCTCTGCATTATTTATAGCTTTTGACTTTGTAACAAAAAAAGACAGGGGGACACAAATGTTGAGAGAACAGGTCTCAGAAAATGACCTTGTAAAGTGCCAAGAGCGTGTCCACATTTAGGATATCCACTCCTAAATCATGTGGAGTGGTAAATGGAGAGACTTAAAATGCTGTCTCATTTGGATAAACTAGCCGCATTACTTTAGCCAGAGAGGATGGAGCATGAGTGGAGCTTCCTTTTGGAATATTAAAACATAAATCTTTAGCTTAATAGTGTTGCTTTAATAAGTAGTCTTCATTATGACTTCCCTGCTAGCTCTTTTGTTTGCTGAGTCCACTTAGTTGCTTAAAATATTTGGATTTAATAAGATGTAACCAAATGCAAGAAAGGCAACAAATAACTTTAGCCTGAGGGATGAGTGTAGTCCGAAAAGAGTGTGGATACGGACATGTTTATAGGTATTGGTGGGCGAAGACTCAATTAAAGCTAATAGTTGAGTCTAGCTTTTTCTCGAACCTATAATATGTAGGTGATATTGAATGCTATTTAGTAAATAGTCTTAATCTTTTCATCTATTTTTCATTTCATGTCTCGTACTTTTAGTATTTTAGTCAGTGTATATGTCACCGGCAAGAGGATCTGTCCTTTTCTTTTTTCCTGCTTTCTTTGCTCTGTTAAAGGTTTCATTCTAAAGCGATAGGGGGTCATAACCCGCAGAGAGTCATTCTATCACAAATGATATACATTTGTGCTTGATTATTACTTAATGTATCAAAACAGGAGATGCTTTTACACTGAATATGAAAGTATATGTTTAAATGGAGCGATTGTGCTCAGTAATGGCCCTGCTCCTCCTTTAACTGTTTGGATTGACAACAATTTCCCACTAATTTAACATCCTTTGTGTAGCTCCGTGCTTTAGCTGAGGGTAAACCTTGTGACTTGCACCTCTCCCCCCTCCCTTTGTCTGTCTCCTCTTTCTCTCCTTGCCTCCTATTTAGCCCGTGCATTTGATTAGTTAATCGCGCCCCCGCCCCCCCCCCCCAGTCCTCAGGTGGAGGCAGAGCTCGGGCTTCTCATCCAGCCAAGCTGTTCTTTTGGAAGGGAAAGGAGGCAGCTGTGTTTACAGCCCGGGTCCTGGCGTACATTTAGCAGAATCTATTATTCATATCGCTCAGTATCAGAGCGAGATCTCCAGCCACCTGTCTCGCTGACAAGCTCGCCCCCTTTTGTGGCTCTTTCCGTTCGGAGCAAATTACGCTCGTCTTGATGAATTGAGTTTTTATGAGCGTTGCTGTAGCGCCTGGGCATCCTCGCGCCGAGCCAGGGACCATCAGGGGCCCCGGAGAGATGTCTCTAGTTAATGGGCAAACGTTTGGAAGAATGTAGACTCAGGAAGGGGGAAATGAGAGTGGTTTCTACCTAGAAATCAGGTCTTCTGTCAGGCTGATTTCGGTCCAATGATGTCCCTACACCTGTCAGTGTTTGTTTCCCTTCCCCTCTTATTGTTTCTCCTGATCTGACAGAGTGAGCAGCAGGAACAAAGGAGCTACCTGATGAGTCTGCCGGCAATCTCTCTCCCTCCTTTCACTCTGTGTGAACATTTTTAATTAACAGGGAGGTGCGTTAACTCCATGATAAGCACCCCCGATAAGTTATAACATGATTCATAATTTATAAAGATTTTTGCTTTCATCTTCGCTAGTTTGCATAAAACTAATTATGTCGTAAATGGTATTCATTACAAAATATATTTTTCTCTCTTTTTCCTCACGGTGCCCGGCTACTGAGCGTTGCAGTGGGACGCTAGCATGCAGAGAAGAAAGGCAATGATGAGTTGTTAGAGGCGGTGTCAGGGGCAGACCTGCCTCTCTGTTTGTGCTCCACCAGCACATTATGCAGCTTTGCATTCATTATGCCAACTGCTACAAACCGCAGCACCGACCGACGCTGAGGTAACACTTAACCTGCTCAATGCAGGTAAACGCCATCAGAGGCAATTACATTTTCAATGTTTGACATGGAGCGCAAAACAAAGAAGAATACATTAATTTGACATCTCTATTTGCTTATACAGTCTTTTAGTAATCTTTCGGTATAATATCTTCCTGTGATTCAGGTCATCTATTTCTATTTGTTGTTGTTTTGCATAATGTTGGGGGTTGGGGGAAATATATTTATATATTAATATTGCCATATCCATAATTATTGACATTTTAATATGAAAAGTTGGCATCTTTAAAGAGGGCTTTTCCCTTTTCTGAAGTGTGTTATTTAGGTTTGTGTGCATGTAAATGGTCTGCAAACGCTACAATCCCAAAGTTCCCTCCATTTTAGCACTTTGTTTTCTTCCACGACATAGTGACATCACTACGTAACACGTGCGCTTCTATTAGGGACATCTCTAAGCAGTAGACCAATCAGAACAGAGCAGGCCAGCTAACCAATCAGTGCAGACTGAGCTCTGGTTTCAGACAGAGGGTGAAAAGAGAGAATAAAGACCTTTTTTTAAGTCAAAGTATGGAGACATGTCACAGTAGATCTGTTACCCGGAAATTAGCATAATAGGGCCCTTTAAAAATCAGGCTTTAATAGGCTTGGCATGAAAATCCTACCTGCAGACTGTTTACGTCCTGACACAGGTTGGTAAATAGCAGTCTTGTGGCTTTCTCTGTGACATAGTCTTCCCTCCCATCCCTGAAAAGAAACAACAAAACAATTTGAGTTTAGAAGAAGAAAAAAAAGAAAAGTAAGATGTATAAATAAACATGGCCAAACACATTGCCTGCCTCGCGAGTTTGTTTTCAATTCCCATTCGATTAAAGTGTCCCTGCAGGAGCCGACGAGGTTGGGTACGGGGTGAGGTGCACAGACATAAATCAAAGCAGTCCAAGGAATAGTAATCCTTGCTGAACATTTTGGACTGATTGATATAAATAACATTGTCCTCGCCATCTGTCCAAAGAGGGACCTTTCCAGTTAGTGTTGAGCGGCAACGGCAGAATAATTAATGAATGGTGTCCTTTGTGCCGGTAATAAAGAGGAGACAAATTATGTTATAATCCAACTGCTGCTCGTTTGTCACAGCCAAATAAAATGTCAAATAAAAGTGAGGGGCCACAGTGTTTGTTTAATGGAGTGCAAGCTACCTGCTCCAGTGTGACAGCAGGGGGGGAAGGCTGTAAAAGCCGTTTGGATTCCAGTTTGCAGGAATCTTCCGCTCTGTGCTGTGTGCTGATTATGCGCTGCACATTTAACAAATGTTCACAAACACAAATGAAGAGTTCTGGTCCAAAATGGCTCTCATGTCCATTCTGGAGTGAGATCATGACCTGAAAATGATAATTCATTTGTAATCAAATGTAAAATGTCCAATCTGTCCGTTTCACAGTGATGCTAGTTTTAAAAGATGAAATGGGTCAAATATAAATTAACACCTAAAGTAGTTTGTCTTGGAGATCTAAATCCCAAATTCAAATAGGTTTGGCTATCTATAAATAACATTAAAACATATTTTCACTTCCATGGAATTTTTTTTTTACAAAATGAGTAAGCCGTGGGTTCAAATATCTTGGTGACCAACTGACAGATGACCTGAATGAATGATAGAGATATTTATTGATAATGTTCTGGTACCCCTTTGTGGTTTTGGCCTTTCAGAATAGGGGTCAAAAGTCCCATTGTTCCCCTAAAGTCCTGTGACCACCAGTCTTAATAAATACCAATAGGTGGACTTTCTTTTTCCAGAGTTCTAGTGCTTGTGTCATCTGTATGCGTTACATGAAACATCCGCTCAGGTATTCATAACCTGAGATCAAGGTTGGATTGCCGTCATTGATCGGCAGAAACACCTAAATTGAATTTGTATCCCTCATCTCACCTCTCTGCAGTCGTACCCGGAGCCCAAACCTGAATGTTAAGCCCCTGAGCACGAGCCTACGTCCAGAAAGAAGAAGCAGAAGTTTTGATATCTCTCAACAAATTACGATTCTTGTCACAAGTAGCGACTTCACTGTAAACACGTTGACGCACCTGAGAACTTATCAGAGGTACCTGAAGGTTTTTACAACTCAACAGACTCAATCTTAGCTCTGTAAAGTTCTTACAGTTTGTTTAAATCTGCAATGTGTATCCCTTAATGTTGACCTAGATTGACAAAAACATACGTTTTATCTTTTCAGACATTTTTTGACAAGCAAAAACTGATTTCAAGAGTTTTCTTTCTTTAAACACGATCAAAGGCTCTGATAACGGGCAATACTATATGATATAACCCACTAAAGCTGAATGACATTTCATGACAAGCACTAACGTCGAAGATAAATTAACAAACTTAAACAGGTTGTTAAGCCCCTCTAGTGTAATCATTTCAAAACTTATAGTACGAATGGTTAAATATGGGCAGGTCAACCCAAAATATTTTCCATCAGGTAATCAGCTGGTAGCCAATGATGTCAAACAGTATCTATCAACCTTCTAGTGGTCTGTTATGTTCCTTTCCATAGACAAAACAAATATATAGTACATTCAAATGAAGCCTTACAAACGTGGTGAAATGGTACGCCCTGTCTTAGACCCCAAGGGAAGGAAAGCTGCAAATACAACATGGCTTGTTATGTTGATGAAGCCAAGGAGGAAGTGCAAAGTGAACTTGAACTCTGAGAAAGTTTAGTCCTGGGAGGCAAGGACGAGGGAAACAGCGGCGTCTCGGTAAAGGGCGGACGTGGCAACCTAGACAGGAGATGATCGCTCCGCTATTTTGCCTCCAGGTCCATCAATCACCCTTCAAATTAAAGGCGAGGTGAGGCTTAGGCTTCACCGGCCACATTTGACATCAGTCTCACATCAGACGGCAATGAGGACATCTCCGTAGGTATGTATGCTCATTCCGCCCACGTCGCGGCAACAAAAGGAGGAGCCGCTTTGTGCAATCAGCAGCGTTATGTACATATTAAACAGCAACACTCTCAACCCAGGTTCATTTTAATTAGAGGGGAATTTGATCACTGCCGTCTCCCACGGGCGCTTTTGATGTTAATAAAACAAGCTGTACCTTCGCAAAGCAGAGCTCTCCTTCCAAAGCAAGGGGAGCCGTGGGGGTGAGAGCAAAAGGGAAGTGGAGGGGGAGCAGAAAAAAAAGAAAAAGTTCCCGACTAAAGTGGAAACTACAGGGAGGTGTCAGAGGATCCTCCGCCGTGTTGGGAGATGGCGAGTAAGCAGGGATTATCAATGTCGACGAAGCGCATCACTACTTTATACATGCAGAACGTCTCATAATGAACGGCTGAGGTGTTCTCCATTATTGCTCTGACACCTTGGTGTATTCGTTCAATAGATGCTAATCACAAAAGAACCTCAACAGAAAAGGATAATATTTGCCCGGGTGAAGGTGTCCGACAGTAGATCTGAACAAAAGCTTTATTATATCTATGTAGCGGCGGGTGAAAAGCCATTATGTAATAGTTTTTGTTATTTTAGTTCTATTTAAGTGCAAATGAAGAGCTTCAAATATATTGAAAGGGGACATCTGATTTCGGCACAAAAATGCAAATCAGCTTAAAAGACTGTTCCCTACGCGCCCTTCTAGCTTGAATACGATTTCTAAGAAGCAAAAACGTATAAACACATTTCAAATTGTCGATTCCTTATGACATCAATCACAAAAAACTACACCTGCAACCCTGGCTTCTTGAAACGACCTTTACATAGTACTAAATTAGAGGAAATATGTCATTTTGTTACTGTGATTAGGTTTATTAGTGTAAGAATAAAGTAAGTCAATGATTGGCTGTCAGCAATAGGTGACTTGAACAAAACCAGCATTCAAAGCTAATCAAATAAGGAGTTTTACTTATTAGGGTCAAAACTAAATTAGTAAAACTCTGTTAGGGCCCATTGTGTTATAACATTTGCTTTCATTCTCCCAATAACTGAAGTGAATGGTCATCTGTCCCTGAAATAAAAACGCTCCATCCCTCCTCGCCTCCAGGCGGGTCGTTTAACGGCCAAACGAGCGGTGGAATGAGTAAATAATTCAACAAATAGATGAATAAATAAAAGGGGTCGGACTCCGCGGTGGTTAAGCAGAAGGGGGCAGAGTGTGTGGGTTGGGGGGGGGGGGGTCATTCAGCTGGGGAGCCACCTATGGCAGCTTGCTCTCCCTGAACATGTACCGTCTGTACAATTCTGAACCTTGGCACCGGTACAGGCATCTGCTGCCGGCCTCCCTCTGCCAGTGCACCGTTTACACACAAACATCTGCTTCCCCACACAAAAAAAAGGGGACACACAGCACTTGACAGGTCTGCATTCTGCCTGGCCCCTGCTCACCCGGTTCTTTACACAAAAAACCTTAATGCATCCTGTCAAGCCATTAGGCGGAGATACGATCAGCTCACAGGCCCCCATTAAGCCATCAGTGTCCACCTGTGATAAAGACGACCATTTGTTTTCTTAAAGCCCTACTTAATGTCCGTTTAACTCAATTTGTCAGGAAATGTACAACAATTTCCTCCCCCCATGGTCCTGAAATCTGGTCGGGGTTCAACAACGCAGAGGCGAAGAGGGAGGGGTTGTGTTTTTGCAGGATGCATATTCAAATGAGGGGATTAAATTGCCTCTCATATTGACGTATCGTGTTGCGTGAGCGCTTAGAGGTGGCCTGTGTTTTCCCTCTAAAAGCAGATTTTTGGACAGCAGGGGCAGGAGCTGGAGGATGTTTTGCCTCCATTAGCCTCGGTCCACGGCCCCTGCTCCCTCTCCTGATGCGGCCATGACAGCACTCTAAATCTGGCCCCGCCGTTAATACCGGTGCACACACAGAGACATAATAACACCTTTTAAAACAACATTGTCCCTGATGCTCGCGTGCACACATGTTGAATGATCAGCCCCCCCTGCTCGTCCCCGGTGAGGACACATAACAGCCTCTGAAACATCTGTTAATGTTTGCTCCGCAGATGCATCATTTGGATTTTTGAGGGGCGGCGGTGAATGAAACACAATGATTCTTCGCCGTGTTGTAATCCCCAGTGCGGGTAGTAAATCTAGCTATTAACTGCAAAAGGGAGATTTGAAAACTATCTAGTAAAGCAAAACAACACAAAAAAATTGGTGCCATAAGTGCCTGATGTTGGCAACAGTGCCGTTTTTCGTGTATACACAACTTCCCTCGCCTGCCCCTTCTTCCCCGGTGGTGGGACGGCGGCTCGGCCAAGCAGGCAAGAAGTAGAGGGGCCCTCGGTGGTGGCGGTGGTGGCGGTGGCGGCGGCACTGCCGACATCTGTCGTGGTTGGAGAGCTCGGTGCACAGGAAATGGGGTGTCACGGCGCTTGGTTGTTGGCCATTATCCTGGCATCCTAATGAAGTGTGGGCAGTTCGCAAAAGGGGGTCTCTGGATGGCATGTTGAATACACGGATGGGCAGGAGCAGCACACACACTCCTACGCCATCCCTTCGCCCTCGCTCTCCCCTTCAAACCCTCCCTCCCCCCCCCCTCTTCCCTGTGCCTGTATCCCATCTGCCCGAGCCCCCGAACTACACCCAATGGGACGGAGGATGATGGCGAGCGCATGCGCCGTTCTCCGGGCGTTTGCCTGAGCGCGAGGCCATTAGGCATCTCGGCACGAGCGTGTGATTGGAAACACACAGTGAACAAGCGTCCTCTCGGCATGGAGGCCGCCTCACGCTATGAGAGCCG